AAAAAAAAGTGCTTTGGAAGTGTCAAAGTCTTACTTCTTGGAAAGAAGGGAGGGGATGTACTGTAAATTGAACACTTATGCACAGGATTTTCTCCTCTGTTTGCATGTTATGATGCCAATGGCTTGGCAGAAATTTCATCAGAGGTTCTTCTCCTGCACCTGAACTTTCAAACACTGTCAATATCCGTCTGTGTGAAATAAACAGTCACAGTAAGGCTGGTGACACACAAGAAAAGATATCTGAAATGCACTGTTATTTATGTACTGTATATTTTTTTATTTATTTAAGAATAAAATCTGAAATGCATTGATAAGAAAAGATTCTCCTATTCCTGGAGGGATGGATTGTTTTGGAGCTACTGTATTTAAATTCCATTTGCATCATTATGCAACTGTCCACTGGGTTTTTGTCCCAATTAAGATGTTTACGTTCGTTGAAACTTCCTGAATGACTCCAGACATCAACATTCCAGGCCTGTTTTAGCATGCTCTAAAAAAGACTATTATGCAACATTGTTTTTATGTACTTTTTCATTTAAACTTGTCTGTACATTTCATCTGACCTCTTTGGGAAACAACAACAGCTGAAAACAGCCCAGATGAGTCTTCAGCTCATGTGATATCTGTGTCTCAGTTCAAATACGAAAACCGACCAAAATTACCTCTGGGGAGGAACTAAATCGAGGCTCCTATTTAAATATAATCCTCTTTAAACCATGTCGTGAAGTCACACTCTGAATGAGCACTTATCAGTGAAGCAAGCATATCTCCTCCAGGCTAATCCACTCTGCAAAATGATCCCCTTTCACTGCTTTTACTTGTCTAGACTTATACCAAATCTCCCCCCATCCTCTCTGCCAGACTTATCATTTTGCATCAGAACCTTCTGCCCAAATTCAATTAAACACCCCAGTAAAGGGAGATATTGTTACCAAAGCACCTTTCATAGCGATGTTCTTTGGAGAAGCATGTTACAAAATCCCTCCTCCCCCATCCCACAATTTACTGCTAGAAACCTAAATCCCTTAAAAACAACTTTTCAAGAAAAGACGTGACTCATTATACCCAGTGACGTTATATCTTAAAAATTTTAGACCCAAGTTTAAAACTCTAGCGCATCTGGGCTTCTGACAACAAGTACACCAGCTTACCCTCACAGCCTGTTTTATTACCATTTTTTTACTTTAAAGGCATTCCAAGTGTAGTCTTTTAAACTCTTGACAGGATACTCTACCAATCTACAATGTTTAAATGATAAATAGAGTACAAGATGGAAAACAAGATTTTAAATGTTGAAGACCAGCCATTACTTTTTAAATTGCTCTGCACACCTGCATGAACCAAAATTGAAAGAAAAAGCTGCCAACCTAAGCTGTACAGTACCTGTTAAACACTCATGTGGCTTGGAGAGCACAGTGTAGTTTGACCATTTAACTAAACAATGAGAGTAACTAAGCAACTTAAGCAATAAAACAAATATGCTGTGGCTCTCTAGGGAAAGACTTCAAAACAACAGCTTGAAACTGCTACAAATAAGAGTAATAATTGCGTTTATGTAGCACAGGAGGGCAGTTATATGGTCCTCTCAGTCATGTACAGAATGACCTGGCTCAGCTTTCTACAGAGAGCCAAAACCTCCCAGACAGGCACATTGTTCATAATCAAAATCAAAGCTGACCATCTTCTGTTTCAATTTTAGAATAGGTCATAGAAAAAAAGCCTAAGAAATCTGTTCCATAAAAACAAATTTGCCCTGAGATCCCAGGATTAATAAACTAGTAACTACTAAATGGGCTACATAGAGCCAAACAGCCTCCTTTCATTAATAACCTCACTTATGTTCTCAGAATTTATTGATTTTGTAGTTAATGTAAACTGTTCACAATCTAAACACAATAGTTCAGGTGGGTAGCTGTGTCAGCATGCGTAGGCTGCAAAGGAACAAGTAATAGGTTTATTCCATGCTGAAAAAAAGAAGAAAGAAAACACAACGTTTCGGCCCTGGAGCCTTCTTCAGGTGTGAAGAAGGCTCCACGGCCGAGTTTTCTTTTCACACCTGAAGAAGGCTCCACGGCCGAAACGTGTTTTCTTTCTTCTTTTTTTCAGCAAGGAATAAACCTATTACTTGTTCATCTAAACATCTGGATTTTCATCAACTCTGCAAATGTAAAGTCAGATGAACAGATCAACTGGAAATATCACGTTACAAGGCAAGACCTGATATAAAAATAATATAATATACAGCAAATGCTACTTAATACCTTTTTTTTTTTAAATCTAACTCTGTTATAACTGACAAGCACAGCAAAAACAACTTCAGTTTCACTGGAACTCAGACCTCCACTATAGGATAGATCTCAAAATATCTCTATATCCAGGAACCAGATAAGTTCTCTGCATGACATTTTCAAAAGTCAACATGTGCAAGAGACAAGTTCAGGATGCATGTCTCAGAATTCAAGCGAGGTGTCTGAGTTCTTTCAAATAGGTAGGTTTTCAATTTATTTCAATCACATGGGCGATAGAAATTATTCTCCTGGTGCTGCTCTTATAAAATTATCAGTGATTTTTCTTCATTCTCAAATGACATAAAAATACTTTTCTTATGTTGTCAGATGAGGTCTGCAGTGTACATGACAGATCATATAAGAAAGAGGAGTTTCATTATGTTTCTCTACCATCCCAAAACTCTCCAACTGTTTGACAACAGTTCAAATGCCCTCATATATTACTGCTCAGTGGCATCAGCATTAACAGAAGATATTATGATAATTCACCGGATCCTGCTGGGAGTCTGATGACAGCCCGACAGCCAGGCATAAAGAGTTTTGCATAAATTAACTCTGGAGGCACAGGCTCACAATCTAATCAAGCAAAAGCTGGAATACTATTCTTCATCATGGTGCGTGAAGACAGATCATCGAGTCTTATCTGAGGGTGCAGTTAACTAGGTTTGAAAATGGTTAACCAGGCCCTTTGGGAACAAAATATTGATTTCACATGTGACCCAAACAGTATAAAGAAGACACTAAAAATCCTTTGTTGGTAAAGAGGAAGTCAAAAAGAACGACTGGAAAAAATGTTAAACACAAATAAAAGTGCACTATATGGTTTTCTGCAAATTAACGGACTACTGTAATTAAGAAGACAGAAAGATGAAAAAATACTTCTGATCATAATCATTATAGCAGACTTTTCCATGTCTAGGTTTCAATGACGATCCTCCAAATCCTCTATAATGCACTGCAGATGCTGGAATTGCACCTCAGAAGAGTTCACGCTAGGCAGTAATGACTTGCGATCATTTGCGTGGAATGGATTATCCACTTTGCAAGTTCAACAAGCTCAGCATTGAACATCAAGGGATTCAAAAGACATGTTCTTTATCAAATTAAGCTACAACTCACTGGCACACCAACCACATCTACCTTACACTGCTTACTGTCAAAACTCTCCCTTCAGAGGAAAGACGCCCCAGCCAATATCTTCTCTCCTATATTTGTCTGTCAAGAAGCTTGATTTAGATTTGGTGTTTTGGAACATCCATTAACACTTCTCAAAATAAAATATTGCAATCAGATACAATATTCAGAAGCATCTAAATGCTTGTATTATGCTACTGTGTGAAGCCAGGGATTAGAAAAGAAAAATCGCAAGGCAAATATTAGCATCTCTCCATCTGGCATCTGACAGACACATACAGTACAAACAAGTATGTTAAGCGCAATTAAAAGTTAACCAAACAAAGATACTGGAGACAATGAAGGTGCCAAGCTCACAAAGGGGGGAAAATCTTGGAATATAACAAAACAGGGAAAACAAATGTACAGGTTTTGGCTTGTTACTGAAATTCCATCAGAAAACAGGAATGTTTGAGCCAAAACAGTCAAACAAGCCAGGCAGCTTTGCAATGGAATTCTAATAAATCTAGGTAAGGCAGCTGAGTTTCTCTGCAGAAGGAGGAAAGCAGACTTGTCAAGCCCCAAAAAAGCAGTTTCAATATGACCAAAAC